AAAATTAATTTTCCACTAGCTCATCCTATGGCAAATTTGCTTTTAATCCACTTATTTGAAATCCCTTAAGGACTAGCGGCTAATCATGACAAAACTGAGAAGAGTAAGTAGGAAAATGTCCCAAAGGCCACAGTATGACAGTGTTGGTCATTTAAAAATACAAATTGCTCTGTTGCTAATATCCTGACCAAATTCCTGGTCCTGTTACCTTTGGCATGCTTCTCCTTGCCAAGGAAATAATGGCCATTGGCTTTTAGTGAAGGAATTCTGGGCGGAATTTGAAAAGCCTGAGGTATAATGGAGCCCTTGTTAAGGATGGGGGTAGAACGACATAATAGAATTCTTATTCAGCCCATTTCTGCCAGGATTCTTCATCTAGAGCCAACATGCCAAGCTTAACCTTTGAAAAGGCAAGGACGGGCTATTTTGTTGGTTTTTTTTTTTTGCATTTTTAAAACTGACCCCTCATCCAAACCATTCTTGGTTTTTGACATCAGCTTCCCTTCCTACAGACAGCATGACTTGTGAGACAGGTGGATAAGAGGTATGGCTGTGAGTCAGAATCCATGTGCTGGCATCTGGTGGCTGGCACACATGAAAGCTAAATGGCTCTATTTTAGAAGAAGGCATTATTAATATAAAACAGTTTTTGGCACCTCTGGTTCCCTGGCTGAGATGAAAAAACAATGCCTTTGCTTTTTCTCTACTACACAACTGGGTTACCAACCTAAAAAGGTAGGGACTGACTCTGGTTCTCAGGGAATGGCTTGGCATCTAGCCTCTGGCCAACCAGGGCAGTTTCATGTGAATAAAATGTAAGCTCGTTTATAACAATGACCAACAACCTGCAGTCCAGACTCAGGATCAGAGCTAACAGACCACTAACCTTGCACACTGCCCAACTCCCAACTTCAACTGGTGATCTCTCTGCCCCTTAATTCACTTGGCCTGGAACTAAGGATGTTGTTGTCAGGTGCCATTGAGTGGGTACCGACTCATAGCACCCCTATGCACAACAGAATGAAACACTGCCCGGTCCTGGGCCAACCTCACAATTGCTACATTTGAGTTCACTGATGCTGCCACTATGCCAATCCATCTCATTGGGAGCTTCCTCTTTTTCTCCAGGCCTCCACTTTACCAAACATGATATCCTTCTCCAGTGATAGGTCCCTTCTAATAATGTGTCTGAAGTATGAAAGACGAAGTCTGGCCATCCTAAGCTTCCAAGGAACACTCTGGCTATACTTCTTCCAACACAGATCTATTGGTTCTTTTGGCAGTCCATGGTACTTTCAATATTCTCCTCCAACACCGTAAACTCAAATGCATCAATTCTTCTACAGTCTTTCTTATTCACTGTCCAGCTTTTGCATGCATATGAGGTTATTAAAAATATCATGGCTTGCATTAGGTGCACCTTAGTCCTCAAACTGACATGTTTGCTACTAAGGATTGACATATATTCTTATATGGCTGTTAACAAGGATTTCTAATCTGGGTTTGTGGTTAGGTATTAGGAGCAGCCCCACTCTCAAGAGAACAGACCTAGGGATTTTACTAGTAAACCCTTGAGCCAGTTGGTAGTGTTTGCCATCTTGCTAAGTTGGTACTTGGCAAAATGGTAAAAGAGATGGTATAGGAAGTAGATGGGATCTGGCCTGAGTCTCCTGCCCAGTTGTTGAGAAAGGAGACACCTCTGACCTTTGCTATACATTATTCAAATCAGATGATTTGAGATTAGAGAGATAGTGAGCAACTCACATAACCTCATCCCATGTTATTGGGTTTCACAATTTTGAAACACTCATTCCTCTAAAATAATTTCACTCTTGTCAGTAAGTAAAAATAATGAAATGATTTTATGCCAGTTTCTCCAACTGCTATGATACTGTAATGGAAACTTGCATGATAGGTTCCTGAACAGCCTGTTCAAGCTGGACTGCTGGCAGTGGGTACTTGGTGAGATCACCTCAGGGCAGAACTAAAGAGGCATAGAATGTAATAGATGTAATAGATTTCTCAATGAGTTTGCTACAAGAAGCACATAATGTATTGAAAATAATTTTACATGGGGAGTCTCTAGGATATTTAGATAAAGAAAAAGAAAAACATGGCATAAGAATAAATGAGTCCAGGTACCATAACAGTTAAGCTTTGGGATGCTAACCCAAAAGTTAGTGGTTCAAACCCACCCTGTGGAATCAAGACCTGGCAATCTGCTTCTGTAAACGTTACAGTCTAGAAAACTATATGGGGCAGTTTTACTCTGGCACATGGGATCTGTATGAGTAAAAACCAACTCAATGGCATTACCTACAAGAATAAATAGAAGTATAAAGAATGCACTAAGTGGTGAAATGGAGTTTTAGGTTGAGTATTTTGTGCTTGTTTCTAAATCTAAGGACATTTCTCATGACTCATTTCCTTTTGGAAGCATTCTAATTGAACCAGTTTAGACATCCACCAACAACTAAAGTATACTCTGGTAGCCTAACTTTAGAGCAAATACCTCAGTGATCGCAACATAGCAAATAGAATACCCTTGAGTACCAGTTTCTGATGCTCTCACCATGGCAATATCATTTAGAGTCTTGCCCCTGAAACCGTGGACACTGTTTTGTTTTTTGTTGTGATGGGTCTTGACTTGTGCTCCAACCCTGAGTCTCCAAATTGTGAATCCTAGAACTCCTGCTACTGATAGCACACCTGTAGTCTACCTGCCCAGGTAGCAGTGTTTAATGGTAGAGCATGTTTAGTGTTCACTCTACCTTTCCAAGGTCACTTGTCTAGGAGCTGTGTGAGCAAACACAGTTCTGATTTTATAGCAGGTGATTTGGAATATGAATAATCACTTGATCACTAGAAAGTTTTAAAGACTTCTATCAGCCTTTAAAAAAGTACTTAAAAGCACATACAAATCAGACTTACTGGACCAACCAACAATGAGGGAAATGCCTCACATCTATTGCCCTGAGATCCTCTTGAAACCTTGAACAAAAAGTACCAATGAAATCACTTCTAAATAATGCATTTAGGTAAGTATATTTGTCTGGAGTGTTTGTTGTGTTCTTTTTGAGAATTATAGGAAACCCAACAGACAAAAGTAATTCTGCATCACACGTGGTAAGTTTAGGGTACAGTGAAACTAAGGCAAATGTGGTGAAACAATATGGGATGAGATGGAAAGAATTATGGCACAATATGAAGACGGTAAGCAGTGTCATTGAATAGTACATGTAGAAATTCTTGAATGGGTGTATGTTTTGTTGTAGTTTCACCAAGGGAAAAAAAAGAGAGAGAGAAGAAAAAGAAATAGGGAGACTATTATAAAATTCCATTCTAAGCATTCTCCTTAGAATCCAGGAGGGCAAGACTTTGTCTCTCATACTTTGGACATGTTATCAGGAGTGACCAATCCCTGGAGAAAGACATCATGTTTGGTACAGAGTCAACAAAAAAGAGGAAAATTCCCAATGAGATGGGTTGATACATTGGCAGCAACAATGGGCTAAAACAACAATTATGAGAGTGGCACAGGACTGGGCAGTATTTCATTCTGTTGTGTATAGGGTTACTATGAGCTGGAAATGACTTGATGGCACCTAACAATGACATCATATATACTTAATATATTAAAAAAACAAAACAAAATGCATTCATTGCAGAGTATTCCTGATCTAATTAATTGCTACTGCCACTGGTGGAATATTTGACTACAATTAAGACAGGTTTTTCCTCAAAGCAACCACTATGCAAAGTTGGACTACATGCTCTGGAGATCCAAACTCAGAAGCAGGGTAGGCTAGTCCAAGGACCCAAGTGGAGTGCCCAGGGCTGGGGGCAGCAGGGTGACAGAGAATGTATGCTTATTTGTTGTTGTTAAGTGCCGTCAGAGTTGGTTCCAATTCATAGTGACCCTGTATAGGATTTCCAAGGAGAAACTGACGAGCTTGAACCACCAACCTTGTGATTCAAACTGACCTTGCGATCCGGTGCTTATCCTGTAGCACCACACCAGGACTCCCTATTCTTCATTAAGAGTCCTCTTTATCTTCTGTGGCACTGTGACCTCAGTGGAGGTACCTGCTTATATTGTTGTTGATTGTTCTGCCTTCTGAGTGTGGAGTTCCTAGAGGTAAGTTAAGAATAAGGATGGAAGTAGGGCAGGTACGGAGTCTGGTATGGGAAAGCAAAAGGGAGAAAGGAACACCATGAAGAAATAAGATGATACCAAAACTGAATTTTCCCTGCTAACAACCAGCCTTGCAGTGTTATCTTCTGAAGGAAGAGATTAAGAAATCACAATTGAACCTTAAGACTGTTGACAGGGACCTGAGGCTCTGAACCATCTCTGGGCTTTTCTGTAGATTTGGTGCTAAGATAGACATTTACTCACGTCAGAGAATGGTTGTATCAAAAAAAAAAAAAAACCCACCCAAAACTGCATTAGCATTTTTCTTTCATTTAGGTGACTAACAACTGAGACAAAACTGAGAAGAATAAAGCAACACTCACCTCAGACTTTCAAACACCCCAAGTCAATGACAGCAGCCTTGTCACTCAGGAGAGACAATTTGACACCTCCTCAGTTTGAGATTTGAGAAGATAATACACATTGTTGATTCAGCAACTTTATTTGTAAAGCAATAAGCAAACATGTCATCTTTTCTCTGCACTGTGATTCTTTTCATTATTCTGTCAGACAGGAAGGAGTCTTACTTTAGGAACAACAGGTAAGCAGGGGAAATTTACTGTAGATTTGGTGCTAGGACAGGTATTTGCTGACCTCAGAGAATTATTCACAAAGCAGCCAAAGCCAGGCCGTTTTAATCTATCAGAACAAGAGGCATGTGTGTTTATTTTCCAGCGCTGTTCACTGCAGTAGACCCCAAATTGAGACCATTTGAAGGGGCCTCTTTTTGTGGTTAGGTAGCTGCTTAAACACCTGGGTGGGGACGTGGGTGTCAAGCTCTGTTTTCTAGGTTGGCTTCCAGAGATCAGATGTGATGATGGTTATAAAGATACGAAGGGGACAGGCCGTCATAATGCCACTGGCGCCACTGCTCGATGGCCTCGCGGCTTCTCTCTTCCTGTTCTGGGGAGGAAAGAGGAAGGTGTCATGTTAGGACAGAGGTTCTGATCTGAGAGCCACGCACAGTGAGCTGTCAGCCCACACTGCCTGTCCCAGCGTGACAGGAACCAAGTGTCTCTTGAGCATTTGTGACCTCTGACCTAGAATGCCAGAGCTGGAAGGGGCCTAAGAGAACATGAGTTCAAAGGCCTCAATTTACAGATACGGTGAAGGTCACAGAGCTGGCTGCCAATAGAGCTTAGAACCGAGCCTGATGTTCCAGTTCAGTGCCCTTCCCCTCAGAATCACCAAAGGGAAGAGGGCTTTCTGCTGTCCCAGCTAGAAAATATAACAATTTAGGAACAAAATTAGACTACAAGCTTTATGTTGAAAAAAGTCCTGGAACACACATTTGTCAACTTTGAGTGATGGGAGTGTGGATCACTTTTCTTCTATACTTTTCTGGTTTTCCCAAATTCTTAAATTATGTTTTAAAACTAACTAGAGAAAGAAAAAAGAAAACAAAAAACAACTAACTAACTGGGGAAAAAATGATAAATGAAGCCAGCATGGTAAAATCAGGATAACTGTTGAGTCGGAGTGATGGTTATATGGGGGTTTGTTATACCATATACTTGTCCATATGTTTGAAATTTTTCATTGTAAGAGGCTAAAAAGAACAGAAGAAGTTTATAACGAATAAGAAGGTCCTGATTTTACTGGTTTTGGAGAGATAGGTTTATCAATAATGTTGTTGTTGTTAAGTGCCATCAAATCAGTTCTGACTCACAGCAACCCTATATAGAGTTTCCAAGGAGTGGCTGGTAGGTTTGAACCACTGTCCTTGAAGTTAGCAGACCAGTGCTTATCCTACAGTGCCACACCAGGACTCCTTTATGAATAAACCTTTGTGCAAGTACGATGAGGCTCCTGATGTCAATCAAAGATTGCTTATTATTGTTGTTGTTAAGTACTGAAGAGTCAGTTCCGATTTGTAGGGACCCTGTATAGGGTTTCTGCGGAGTGACTCCTGGGTTTGAACCACCAACCTTGGGGTACAAGTCCAGGGCTTATCCTACAGTGTCACACCAGGACTTCCATTAAAGCATTAGCAGATACCACAAAGTCTTCCAGTGTTAGAAAGCATTCATGGAAAATGTTTGGAAGATGGAAGTGCTAATAGAAAGAATGTGTCTTGCTTGTTTTCTCAACTGTGCCCTTTACCAGAGGACCTGATTTTGGTACTAGAGAAACTGGCATCCTCTGTGGCATTGGGTCAACAGTAAGACCTAGTGCAGAAAGTGGACGGTCCTGTGGTCCTTACCACCTGGGAGGTCCAGAGGCCTGAGCCAAGATTCACTTCAACAGGAAGGACCCTGCTACCACTCTGTGTTCAGGTACCAGGGCTACTGAGAAGTCAATGTCCCTCCCCACCTTCCTACCTCCTCCAGAGATGGGAGCATGGTGGCTCTGCAGAATAAGCACTGGACTGCCAACCACAAGGTCTGCAGTTTGAGCCCACTAACTTCTTCATGGGAGAAAGAGGAGGCTTTCTGGTCCCACAAAGACTTATAGCCTCAGAAACCCTCCACAGTGTCTCTATGAGCTGGAACTGACTCAATGGCAATTAACAATGACAAACAGATAGCCAGGAGTTCACAGAGCTAGGCCCAGTTTGGAGCTTTCGGTGTTAGCAATAGTCCTTTCAGATCTTTCTCAGGCCAGGCAAATCAGCCAATCTTGCAACCTTAAGAGTAGAATTTTGACAAAGAAATTGATTTTTTCCCTCTTGTTGTTGTTGTCAAGTGCCGTCAAGTCAATTCCAACCCATAGCGACCCTGTATAGGGTTTCCGAGTAGCAGCTCGTGAGCTTGAACCTCCGACCTTGCAGTGCAAATGGCTTAGCTCATACCAAATTCCTTTTAGACCGCTTCACATAAGAAAGATTGTGGACTTCATATAGGGGATGATTTGTGAACAGGTGTCACACAGCAGCCTGAGATTACCTGACTCAGAAGTGGGAATTCAGCAAGCTGTTTACCCTGGAACATCTAGAGGCAGAAATCAAAGCCATCTTTGCCTTGTGAGTCTGTTGGTTTTGTGAACAAGTGTAACTGGGAGCCATGGCAGAGCTGGGGGGGGGGGGGGTGAGGAAGAATTAAATCCTTCATGGCCCCTTTGACCAGACCAGGGCCAATGTCAGGTGTGAGCTGATAGAGGAGCTTCTGAGGTGGGATTCACAGGCCCTGAAGAAGGTCATCTTCAGACCACCTGCCTATCATTCCTGCTTTCATTGGAAATACAACTGTTTTGGGTTCCCTCATGGTAACCCCTAGGATAAGCACTGGGCTACAGTGCTTATCCGAGGAGCTCTGGTAACTTCTTATTGTTGTTGTTAGGTGCCATCGAGTCAGTAGCAACTCATAGCAACCTTAGGCACAGCAGAACAAAACACTGTCCAATCCTGGCAGTTTCTGAGGCTCTAAAACCTCACTACTGTTGTCAGGCTTGAGTCCATCGATGCTGCCACTTGGCCAATCCATCTTGTTGAGGGTCTTCCTCTTTTTCTCTGACCCTCCACCTTACCAAACATGATATCCTTTTCCAGCAACTAGTCCCCCCCGACAATATGTCTGAAGTATGAGACACGACGTTTGGCCAACTTGGCCTCCAAGGAGCACTCTGGCTGCACATCTTCCAAAATGGATCTATTGGTTCTTTTGGCAGCCCATGGCACTTTCAATATTCTCCTCCAACACCATAACTCAAAAGCATCAATTTCTCTACAGTCTTCCTTATCCAGCTTTCGCATGCATATGAGGTTATGGAAAATACCATGGCTTGGGTCAGGTGCACCTTAGTCCTCAAGCTGACATCTTTGTTCTTCAACACTTTAAAAAGGTCTTGTGCAGCAGATCTGGTAGCTTAGTGGTTATGAATTGGGCTGCGAACCTCAAGGTCAGCAGTTCAAAATTATCAGCTGTTCTGTGGGAGAAAAATGAGGCTTTCTGCTCCTGTAAAGATTTACAGCCTCAGAAATCCTGTACAGGGTCACTATGAGTCTGAACCGACTCCACGGGCACATAACCACCACCATAGTGCTTATCCACCAGCCGCTCCATGGGAGATGAGACTTTCTGGTCCTGTAAAGATTTACAGGCTCAGAAACCCTGTACAAGGTTACTACGAGTAGTAGGTTTGATTTTTTTTTTTGGAAACCCTAGGAATTCCCTTTAATGAAGCCAGTACCAAGGAGAGATCAGACATCAAAATGCTATCAGTTATAAGTAGAACTGGTGACTTGGGTAGGTTAAGATGATCCACTAAACCACTGAAACTAGGGTCCTGATTGGATGGGAATGCTGGGGAAGCTTAGAGAAGTGCCTGGCCCTAGGGTGAGGAATTCAGCCAACTCTAGCCACTTGTGTAGCAGTTATTGGTCTGGGGCAGGGGGACTCACTGGGAGGAAACATACACTTTACCCTCAGGGAGCTAGTGGGTCTGCTTCATCTCTTTGCTTCCTTCTTTTAAGTCAATCTCTGGGGACCCACTCCGTCATTTAGATGACTCTGTTTTACCCACCTCACTCCATCTGTGCTCCTGACCAATTCCTGGACTACTGAAGACTTCCAAGAGCCCTACGCTTGGATCATCCTTGATTTACAAGCTTGCTGACAAACATACCTAAGTTCAAGTTCTACAGCTGCCCTTACTAACAAGTCAGGCATCCTTTCTAAAAGCTCAGGTTCTGAAACTGTAAGACCTCTCTCTGAGGTGGCTGTAAGGATGAGATTTTCAGTTCCTGACACAGGAGTGCTCCATCAGTGACCATAGCTGCTGTTACTATAGTCCCCAAAGCCAGTCCTCTGCTCTGTAGAGGGTTCTCCATCCTACGCTCTACACTGTGGGAAACGCACCAGGCCCTAAACTTAGGGATCCTCTGGGTTTGCTAGAGACTCTGTCATCTCTGGTGTCCAACCATCTCATCCTAACTCATCGTGAAGGGGAAACAGTGAAAGTTTCCTATCCAGGTGCTAGAGATTTGAACTGGCAGCATTAAAACCTACGCAAAACAGCACGCAAATAGTAACAGTATGAGTACATATTACACGGACATTAGTTTGGAGGCCAAATTCTCAGTTTCTAAATGCCTCTCACGAAGGTGTTCTGAAAGGTAAACAAATTTCAAAAGAATTGGCCTGTGAGTTACAGCAGCCTGAATTTCCCCAAGTAAATGCCCAGGAATGTTTGATTTGCAGGGATCTCAGCCCAACACCTGACTGCAGGTCTGGCCAGACACCATACTGTGGAGCAACACACTCATACCCAAGCCTTTCACTAACAGATGCCCTCAGAGAGTGTTACTGCCCAAATCCATTAGAGCAAGCCAGCCAAGGACTGATGTATCTGACTTACTAAAGGTGGTTTAAACAGGAGCCTTATAGCTGAGCTCATGCGGACCCAGGAGCAGCGCAGGATCATCTCTATCATGAAGTTTCAGGAAAGGGCCAACACACACACACATGTATACCCACTGCCAGGCTCGTCTGAACCCATTCATCTCTCTGGTTGCTTTTTTCTGTGGATGATGCTTGAAGTCATTTAACAGACTGCAATGTCAAATGCCTCCTTGTAGAAGACTGTGGTTCAAAGACAGAACCTCCCTCTACCTTACTTCCCCTTTCTCCCACCACCTCAACATACACCCTCACCCAGGTACCTCCCCCGAGGTCTTGGTGCAACCACCACATCCCAACAGGAGTCAGGAACCCTGTCTACTGAGGGCTTGAGGGTGGGCATGGGTGTGTCAATTGCCTGGGTTTTTTTTTTGTTTGTTTTTGTTTTTTAATTAAATGTTTTTATTTTGGATTGAGTGAAAGTTTACAGGGCACATCATCAGCTTCACATTCAACCATTCATATAGCTTGTTTCATTACATTGAT